CAGTATGTTTTTGAAGTCAACCAAAGACTTCCCCCCAACAAATACCATAAAGCTTATATCATCTAAAGGCAAATTTAAAAAGTTGAGCCTGAAAGCAAAAGGTGCTATGAAAACTAAGAAAATAACTCACTTTTTCCATGAATGGGTTAGGTGATTCAGAATTCCCAGAAATAGTAGTGACACTTGAGAAAATTAGTTTTTCTTTATAAGTTAGACATTTACTTATGAGTTATATTGACTGGAATATATCACCTCATGAATATAAATACTAAAACCTTATTAATGGTATCTATAAAGGAATCACATCTTACACTATAATGAAAGCACAGATATTAACATTTTGTACAAAATGCTTATCCTAAAACAAACATAGATATATGAACAATCAGTATTCTTATAACCATCATTTGTTCTTTCTATTATAATGTGGATTACAAGATTATTAAATAAAAAATATGAGTCATTGGACCTGAGATTTACACTGGGTTAAACACTGGGTGAGGGAAAGTCTACCAAATACAGTAATATACTATAACATGTAACATATTGTCTCTATCTTCAAAGAATTTATAGTTTAGTCAATGAGGCAGAGCTAACACAACATCATATAATAGAAGTAGCAAATGAATAAAAGTAGGAAGCAAGTGGAAGGAGAGAGGAAAAGACTTCTGATAGTGGTGAAAATGTAGTGTATAGAAGATGAGGAGAGACAATGAATTTTAGGTAGAAAAATATACATAAAACATCACATGGGGGGCCTGGTGGTGCAAGGGGTTGAGCACAGCACTGTGGGACTGTCTGCAGCCTCTGCAGCATGGACTCAATCCCCAGTGGGCCAGGGAGCTACCCACATGGCGCAGCAGAACTCTCCTGTCTTGCCTGCTGCTCCCCTCAGCAGTGTATTTCAGTTGGACTGCCTGTTCTGTTCCCCACTCTGTCTTTGGTGAATCCTCTCAACCCCTGTACCTCTGGCTGGTACCCCAGTTCTTGTATGCATAAATAAATATATCTTTAAAAAAAGAAAAAAATAACATGGAATAAAGATGGATAATTTGTGTTTACTAGTTATGAAGAAAGTCATTATTTTGTATTTGATGATAATGCCCATTCTGAATAGGGAGAATAAATGTATATTGAAAGATAATGAATCAAAATTTGGAATATGTAAAGGGCTATCAGATGATGCAGAAAAAATTAAGACACATGGTTGAGATTAAATAAATCCAAAGAATACATCCATGAAGTTAAATACTTTTTCTATAAAGACAGGGAAATATGCAAAAATATTTCATTAAAGATAGCTTGACCATAACAGTGGATGTATGCAAATAGAATAGTGATTGCGGAAAGATCATATATAATTAATATCATTCACTGTGGTCCAGAATGTGCTTTCAAACATTCTATAAAATTTTCTTTAAGAAAGAAAAAGTCTCAGTCTTTGAGATCACTCACACAGCCTGTTAATATTGAAATATGGAAGTAAAAAGGAGAAAAATTAAACAACAAATGTGCTTAATAAGCATTCAATTATCTTGAGTCTAGAGGCACACTGGAGAAAAATGTATTTTCAGGTTAATTTGCTGTAGTATGGATAAGAATAAATAGCAATTTAAAAATTACCAAACAGTTTTCTGGTGACACTGAACAAAACTTCTAAACTGCTTCTCCAGTATCATTATGAAAAGAAACATTAAAATTATATTTATGCATTTTTCAATTTCAATTTTTTATTTTATGCATAAAATTATATTTGCACATTTGCAAATGTGTAAATTATATTTACACATTCATATATTTTGATAGAGTGCCTGCCAAAAATCATGAATTTTATATTTCATTTTAGAGATAAGTGATTGAAGATCTCTATTTGAATTGGTAAAAATAAACCAAATCTTTGGCTAACACCTTAAACAACAATGTTTTACATAAACATAGAACTATATTTTCTTAAATTAGAATAGGACATATTACCATAATTACACTTAACAGATGTAATTACTTTTGGGCTGTAATGTCAAGAGTCTTTGTAGACCTCGGCAAATGCCTTTGATGGAGCTGGGAAGGGATGATCTAGGATTCACAAGGATTGGGGCACAGTTGCCTTCCTATGCTCTCTGCCACTTGTATGGAATGAAGAAGGGATCATCTAGGTCTTAGGTAACAGAGAATGACAGCTGCATCCCCACCTCCTGCATCTTGGAGGGGCAGACCAGGGACCATGTAGGTTTAGGAGATGAAGGCAGAGCTTCATTGTCACCCTGTGTATTAATCCCCTCTTCATATCAAACGTCTCACAGTAGTTGTTGTAACGTTTAGGAATATAACATAAATTTAGGAAGGTTAAAACAGAAGAAAAATAAAGGAATATATTATGCTCCTAAAAAAGGATAAAAGGAGTCAATTTAGCTATAAGAAATTAGATTTGGAAGCAGATATGTGAAGTACAAAATAAAATAGTTTTATAGGAAAATGAGGACCATTAGCCTTAGCTTTAAATGCACTTGCTGTGAAAGAGTTTTCCTTTAAATATCTATTATTTAAAATATAAAACCTTATAACATTGTTTTTGTTTTAAATTCGTGTTTTGAAACTTACTTCTTCCTAAGTTAGTAATTTACTCTTATAACCACTAGTTTATTACAGTTTTTAGTGAGCAACTGTGTAAACTCTTAGGATTATATAGTATTTAAAATTCTTTTACTTTCTCACTTATTTTATTTCTCTTTTCTATTTTGGTAGAGTACCTGACAAAAATCATGAATTTTATATTTCATTTTAAAGAGATAAGTGATTGAAGATCTCTCTTTGAATTGGTAAAGTAAACCAAACCAAAAATACCGAAACATATGAAAACTGATTTCGTATATTTCTTTTATTTGTAGATATTACATGTTTCTTTCAAACCACTAATAAATTTGTCACTCTAACCGTTTACATATTTCACAACAATATGATTAGCATGCTTTTCCACATGTGATATTTAATCCGGTAAAACAAATTGTCATTGAAAGACACAGGGCTAGAAAGACACAAAGAAAGAAAGCAATGAAATTAATTTTACATATATAAATTAGAACTCCAGAGATACTTATCAACATTATTATAAACAAAGTAGTGCTTTAAATTTTGACTCAGATTCACCTGACATTGTATTCACTGTTCTAACTGTAAATCTAAGTAACTGAAAATACCATATTTTCCAAATATAGGGGAAACTTTGCATGCCCTTTGTGACATCTGAAAGTCTAATGGAACACTGCTGAGGATGCTTGCACTTTAGCTAATTTAATCCCTGGGGACATCCATTTGTTTTTAAAAATCTTACACCAAAAGTAAGCATTTGACAAAGAAAAATATTTACTGTCATGCATTACTCCTCATTCTTAGGCTGTTTGAGGGAGATAAAGCAGAGCGTGGAAGTCAGAGATTGAAATGGAGAGAACTAAGGATGGTGCATATAGGAGGAAACTTAATTCTCCTTCTATGGGATCATGTTACAAGTAGTGGTAGCATATATAATGTTCCCCTTTAGACCTCATGTCTTCTTATAGTTTACATTCTTCTACGAATCTTCCTAGTCTTATCACTTCTAAAGTATGGTGCTCAGGGCTGAAGCAAATCCTACAGACCTGATCTGTCTATGTGACACTAAGCCGGATATTTACATCCCTCACTCTAGTGAAGTCACAGGTAACATTTGCAGTGCTTTATATCAGGCGGAGGTTTTTACCTTTTTACCTTCTGTCTACTTGCTTGCTTTTATTTGTTGGCTGTGAAGAGAGATCTTAAAGGTATTCTGATTCTGAAACCCACCAAATTGTGCTATATGGCCAGATAAGAGTATCTCTGACCCAAACACTGTGTCTCTTTGTGTCCTCAAGTTGTGATTTTAATAGCCAAAGGACTCTTTCAACTCATGCCAAGTTTACACTTAACACTTTCACAGGGTCTGCTTCTAAGCAAAATCTCCAGTCCTCAAGTGAGCTGTGGATTTTTTAAATTTAGGTAGTACCTTACATTTATCCTGTTAGGTTTCAGTTGCTTTGGATTGTTTCTAACTGTCCAGATAGCTGTCGTTTCTAGTTATGTTTCTTGTATTTTCACAAGTATTTCCCAAGTTCTGCATTTTCTGTAGACAATTTTCTGTATGTTTGTTTAAATTTGATAGATATATTGGCAGGGTAAAGCCCAGAAGACAATTCTGTAGAAGTTCAAAATAGAATTCCTTTGAAAAGTGACGTGACATTTGGGAATGGTTTTTATTTTACAAATTCCTAATCTGCCCTGTGACTAAGACCAGAGAAACTACCCAATGCCTTGCTCACTTTAAGTCTATTTAAGACTGCCTTTTATTTACATGGTACCACCATTAAAATGATTTACCATCAGACATTGAGGCTGATAATTCCTAGCATTATGTTATATGGTGTTTTTTGTATAGAATTAAATGTCCTATGAAAGTATTCATGTGATATGTCATCAAAAGCCTACTTCAGGGGCCTCCCTGGTGGTGCAAGGGGTTAAGTTTTAGCACTATGGAGCTATCCACAGCCACTGCAGCACTGCAGGAGTTCTATCCTCAGCTGATCAGGGAGCTAACCTACATGGCTCAGCAGACCTCTCCTGTCTCTCCCACTGCTCCCTTCAGCAGTGTATTTCAATCAATCCGCCTGTTCTGTTCCCTACTCTGTCTCTGGTGAATCCCTTCCCCCCGCCACCCCCACACTTCTGGACTCTACCCCAATTCTAGCGTGCATAAAATAAATAAATCTTTAAAAAATAAAAAGCCTACTTCAAAGCATACTTTAAATAGATTAGTAAAATTTTCACTTTTATGGATTTAGAGACCTTAGATTTTCTGGATTTTAATATTTATACAACCTATTAAGAAACAAAACATGTATAATTTTTAAAAGTATAGTTCTGATATGCATTTTACTTATATTGTCGCCATGATGATTTTTTTTTCTGGCAGTAATAAAAAATGAGATTCTTACCCAAAAAGCTGGGGACCTTGGTAGGCTGGGGACTCACAGAGTCATTATGCACAGAATTAACCTGGGTTCTGTAATCATCCACCGGGAAAACATTCACTGGAGAAAAACAGCCAATTAAAATAGGAGACATTCTAAGCTTATAATTATACAGCAAAGCATGACAGTTGTGTAAAGAAAAGTAGATTTCTATAAATTATATTGACATTTTATTAAATTTAACAAATTCACACTTGTTAAATTTGTCAATGGTGAATCAATATATGTGTATTTATATCAATATCTATATTTTCATGAGTAACTTAGTCATTCTTTGTCAGAAAAAGTGTAATAGTGAATGTTTATGTCACTGTGTTGAAAAATTTTATGGCTGATAAAATTTAGATTATAGGTTCCAAAGAACTATTTGCCCTCAAATTGTTATAAACCTAAGGAATTTAAGCAATCTTAATCTTGTGCCTAAATTACATATTCTAGGGAAGGAAAACTATATAACTTGAAAAATCAACATCAGGTCTATGGAAGTAATTCTATAGTTATTTGGACTATGTTGTTTTATCTAATTTTTACTTAGTGGCTAATTTCTATAAGATTTAGTGAATAAAAATGTATTTTTATTTCTGCAGCTGAAGCAGAATCTAGGTAAGTCTGAATATCTCTTAAGAGCCTTATTTTTTTAAGATTCATATAAATGAAGAAAAATGTGATGAGAATTAAACTTACATGTATCCTCACAGGTGTTCTTGCAGTCTTCCAGTAATTCAAAGTTGTTTTCGTTGCCAAGGCACCCACCATACTTGAAACTTTCACACTGCTTTGACTGATTGTTATAAAAATACCTAGTAATATAACCTCTGCAGATTCCAGGATCTTCTTCCAAATAGCAGAAATCTGGCTTTTCTAGCAATTATAAAAATGTTAGAAAACAATATTTATTTTTGTGAACAATTTAATTATTTTAATTAAAGGTATAAATAATTAGAAACTATTTAAGGAGTAAATTTGAAAATTTAAAGAGATTAAAATGTAACTGTCCGTGACTATACAATATTAAAACCATCTTCTATAACATTTAGGATAAGGAATATGCACCTATTGTCACACATTTTTGCTATTGGAATTTCAAGTTCTAAATTTCTCATAGTAAATTAATAGGGAATTAACTATCAACCATTTTATGAATTAAGAAAACAAAATCTGGGCCTCCCTGGTGGCACAGGCAGTTGAGTGCTGCATTGTGAAGCTGTCCGCAGCCTCTGCAGCACGGGTGTGATCCCTGCCAGCCGGCTGGCGAGAATCCCACATGGCGAAGCAGACCTCTCCTGTCTTGCCCTCTGCTTCCCTCAGCAGTGTATTTCATTGGTCTGCCTGTTCTGTTCCCCATTCTGTCTCTGGTGAATCCTCTCACCCTCCCATACATCTAGCCTATACCCCTGTTCTTGTGTAAAAATAAATAAATCTTTTAAAAAAAAGAAAGAAAATAAAATCTATGAGGCTATTTTGCCACTAGTTGGGAAGTATAAAATGTTATGGCAAAATTTTGGTTTACATAGTTTAAGCATATGTGCATTGACATATAGGGAAGATCTATGAATATTTCATACTTTTTAAGTGTGGGGTATCATTAGGAAAAGGAGTATAATGAGTTGTTTCTTTAAGAATGGTTTCAATTAGAAAAATTGGAGAAGCAGCTTTGAGGAATATGAATGCTTTTGTGGCTATTCTTAGAATTTCCTGAAGTCTTATGTTGGAATTAGTGTCTGTGCTATGTATGAGAGAAGAAATCTCAGGCATTGGAATGACTCCAGCAGTGCAGAAGCAGAAATCTCAGGCATTGGAATGACTCCAGCAGTGCAGAAGCAGAAATCTCAGGCATTGGAATGACTCCATGTTCAGGGATTGAAGAGGCTTTTGTAAAAGTCGAATACCCATTCTTTGATAGTTCTCCAAACCAAGCTAAACACAGCTGTCATAAAAGTTGTGCCACCATGACTTACGTTACAAGCTTCCTCTACAGGTTAGCGTCTCTATAAAAAGGAGAGTTGAATTTATTTTGAAAATATAATTGTGAAACATACTGGAAATTTTTTAGGGCAAACTACAATTCCCGCATTTCCCCCTCTGCAACTATGTCACCATGGTGGGAAAAATGAACTGCAGTTCTTTTTATATCTTAAAGCAACTTGCTCTTCATTCTCAGAGAAGCAATACTCACCAGTGTTTTATTATAAAAATAGCAGGATAGAGCTTCCATATGATCCAGCAATTCCACTCCTAGGTATTTACCCAAATGACACAGAAACATTAATTCCGAAGGGAACCTGCATCCCTATGTTTATAGCAGCTCTATTTACAATAGCTAAGCTTTGGAAACAACCTAAATGTCCAAAAATAGATGACTGAATCAAGAAGATGTGGTACATATTATACACAATGGAATATTATTCAGCAATCAAAAAAGATAAACACATGCAGTTTGCAGCAACATGGATGGAGCTAGAAGGGATCATGCTCAGCGAAATAAGTCAGAAAGAAAAAGAAAAATACTGAAATACTGGATGGTGTCACTCATAGCAGGAATTTAGAAAACCTAAATAAGAGACCAGGAAAAAGACTAATTAATACAAAGTAAAAATCAAAATCAACAAGCAACTATAAATTAGAGACACACTACGGGGCGGGAGGGGCGGGGAGAGGTGGGGAGAGGAAGGACTTGCATCAAAATAAGGGGGGGTGCAATTGTATGGGGAATATTACCAAAATGAAAATGCATACATTGTGGAAAAATGATGGAAGAATTATATAAAATAAAATATTTAAAAAAGAAAATGCATACATTGTACAAAAATGAAAAATTATGTAAAAATATATATAAAATAAAATAAAAAATAAAGAAAAAAGTTAATGATTTCTGCAACAGTTGCAGAAAACCCAATCTCTTATGAAAAATTATTTTATTAATAAAATATTCCATCGTAAATACCTATTTTTTGCAACTTATTAAAGTACCAATTTGAAATTTATTTTGTTTGTTATCCCTTGTTGTCTTTTTTTTTTTAAGATTTATTTATTTATATAAGAACTGAGGTACAGGTCAGAGGCGCGGGAGGGTGAGAGAATTCACCAGAGACAGAGCAGGGAACAGAACAGGCAGACGGACCTAGGACGCTGCTGAGGGGAGCAGTGAGTGAGGCAGGAGAGGCCTGCCCTGCCATGTGGGTTTCTCCCTGGCCGGCCGGGAATCGAACGCACACTGCAAAGGCTGCTAACAGCTTCACAGCGCTGTGCTCAATCCACTGTGCCACCAGGGAGACCTTTATCCCTTGTTTTCTCAAGATGAATGTTGCCGTTATTCCCATAGCAACAATGTATGGTTATGTTTTCAATATGTGACAAGGAAAAGAAAATTCTTTAAATTTTATAATAATTTATATAATAGAAAGAAGAAATATGTATAATTATTGTAATTTTATTTATTTTGGTATGAAGAAGTACTTATGAAATGTTAAATCATTATAACAGGATATATGAATTTTATATTTAACTAAAAGGAATGGGTAGAAATATTACATGTACAGAAAGGAAAGAGTAACTAATTAGACTGAAAGTATAATTAAGAAACTGTACAAATGGAAGTTGTTATTTTTATATGAGACACCATTTTAGGACATAAAATTATTTCATGGATAAAATTATTTTGAGGATAAAGTTGAAATTGTACACTTTTACAAAATAATTCTGTGTAGGTCTACAGTTAAAAATACTTACCGTTACAAATTAAGAAATTCATGCCTGATATTTCCCAGTAAATAAAGTAGCATTCTTTTTGAGTGGGCATATACATTTCTTGCTCTGAATTGATGCTCAGTTAAAACTGAGTGCACAGAACAAAGACCTTAAACTACATGCCAACCTCCCATATGTCATAGACTTTACTTAGCAATTAATTGTCTTAGACCAAACTTTCTTTCAGAATTGAATTGTCCATTGTCTTGATTAAGTTCTGATGTTAGGAAGCACATCAAGTTAACTTCAAATTGATATTTTTAGTCAAATCTGCAGAAAAACCAGCCAACCAATTATAGATTGGTTTTAGTTGGATGAATCTGGCCAAACTGATGAAGTGCTGAGATTATGAAGGGATTAGTGATCTAAAATAAGATAATCTAGTGATCTAGACTAGGACAAGCAACATCTAAACTGAATTTCCTTACATAAGTTTAAATAGCACACAATGAATGTTCACCTTTTTGCAGTGTTGTCTTTGTCAATATAACCTTCTTTGGATTATCTGCAAGAAACAATATATGAATATCAATTACCACAATTTATAATGAATTGAAATAATTAGGTCATTAATTACTTTTCTTCTTTTGATTATGAAGAATTAGGCAAACAGACTCGATAACCAAGTGACTCAACTGACTGATGACTAACACAAAAGGGTACTTGATCCAGAATGGAGAGAAGCAGCAAAATGACCAGACTATCCCAAAATAAGGGGGGGTGCAATTGTATGGGGACCACTGAACTGTCTAATCTGTATTAATAACATTTCTAAGAACATCTATAGAAAGAAGAGAATAAGTACTCTGAAATCAAAGAAATATATTCCATCAATTCTTTTCTGTCAACTCAGAGCACACAACCTGCCATCTCAGTGCTGCAGAAGAAGGCAGTCTCTCTACCACATTGAGATTTTCCCACAGGCCAATAGCATCAGGATGCCAAAGTTTGTAAAAACTATTTTGTATCAGAATGAGAATGCAGAGCTGTCTGCTTTGAAAAAACAAGACACCTACTGTTACTAACTAAAGATGCCATTTCTATGGTATTATATTATAATTCAATTCAACTAGTTTTAAGAACATGCTATGGGGAAATTTGGGATGAGAAACTGGATAAATTAGGATTCCCTCTAGTAGTTCACAATTTATAAGAATCATGCAGATAAAAACATTCAAAATTTTTACCAGTAATTATTTATATGTATAGTAGTAAATTTATACCAGTAAGATGAGTAGCAGTAACTTTATACTAGTGAGAAAAAAGAACATACAATATTATAATTTGTAAAATTTGCAAAAATATATATTTTCATAGCTTTAAAGCAGAATAAAAACATTCAACAAAGTTTAGTAGAAATATAGTATGATGTGCTTTTAAATTTAATAATTCAGTAGAAATACAAAAGGAAAAATTGGGTTCTGAAGTGGACCAGCAGGATGATATTTTTCTTCTATAGGACTCCAAGGTTTGAAAGACAGTGACTTAACTTTCTTATATAAGCTGCATTAAACTTAAACTTAAGCTGCATTAAACTTAAAATTTTCTATTTGGTAGCTGTTGAGAGCCTCAGCAACCTCAAAGTGAATTCTCAGTTCTGTTATCTGGACTGGGAGAGCTATGAGATTGTTGTATTGATAAAGGGAAGACTAAGTCAATGTGATTAACCACTCACTCATAGTTGAATGCCACTCAGATTATTGCAGATATACTACCTGCTCTATGAATGTAAAGGTTTTGTCCATCTGTATTATGGAGAAAAGTATAGGTCAATAAGTGGGGCTTAAAATATTTTATACTGACCAATATAAAAATGAAAAATAGTTTAATATGTATGTATGCTGGAAATGTGAAAAAAAATTTTGTGGAATATTAAAATTCAATTTTCATTAAATTACACATTTTTGCTAACATTTTGACAATATAGAATTTGTCCTTTTAGATGTGGTCATCATAGCTCTCCCAGTACCAAAACACGGAAAGACCATAGTTATGCACTTCCCCAGCCCCCTATTTTCATGCCCCCCACCTCTCCTTCCCTGCTTGTATGTCTTAGATCCATGGTCAGTTTTTAAGGATTGATATTATAATTTGTCTATGTTTGATCCTATGTGTGGGGTTCTCTATATTCCACATATAAGTGACACCATCTGGAATTTATTTTTCTCCGTCTAGCTTACTTCATTTAGCAAATCCCTTCCAACTCCATCCATGTTGCCACATGTAAAATCGTTTTAACTTATTTTTCCTAAATTTTTAAATTTTATGATTAGATTTAATAATCCTAAAGGCTTATGGGTGATGTGCCTCCCCAAACCTACCTCTTGTACATGTTTGTTTGCACTCTTCCAGACTTACAAATCGATTCTGATTTCCTTCACACCCCCCATATATAAATTCTTCACACTGCTGAGTATGAATGTTAAAAAAAAATCTCTTCATCATTGCTTTGCATGGGCCATCATCTGCTTTCATTGCACAAAATGAATGTGCAAGTTTCAGTGGTGGCAACTCAGCATCTACAAGGTAAAAATAAAAGACATAAAGTCCTGTATCAACACAACAATTATGTTCTTTTTTCCTGTTCATTTCCTTTTCAAATATGTCCAAATTCTGAGGTGAATACAACAACCACCAAAAGGCTATAAGGAATCTGAAAATGTATTCACAGTTATCAAAGGTAAAGTTAATAAACTCACCAAATGAAAAAGGTCTTATCAACAAAACTTTAATAGTTGATTACTTTGATAATTTGATAGTTGACTTAATAATTTCTACTAATCAACTATCACTGGGAAGCTTAGAATGATTTTTCTGGACTGTTGAAATCTTATAATAACCTAAGCCAAATTGCTCTTTAGAGGACAGTAGTGTTTTATTAAAACTGGTAAGTGTAAGTATCTTTAAAAGAAGTGTCTGAATATACCATAAAATAATTTATTTTGATAAAAGAAAAATGAACAGATGTCACTTTAATAATGTTACATGGAATATTTTTAAAACATGAGAAAAAGGATGTTTGTGGGTATGCAATCATCAAAACAAATCAGTATTAAGTTACCCTTAATTTCAAAACTTATGTGAAATTTTGAAAAATATGTCCACCATAAAAGCCAGCTTTGGTAATTTTATCAAGTTCTTCTACTATTGATATTTTGTTATCCTAATGATCTGTACTGAATTATTGTCAAGTACTAGCCATATTTAATAATGTTAGAGCTCTTTATAATAATGTAATTGGAACATTATTTTTTATTTTCTATGAGAGTCATAAAATGAAAAGTAGCCCATGCAATCTTAAAGGTTTAAACATACAACTTTCTATAATAAGTTGGTATTATTATGCTTTTTGATTCATTTGACAATATGGACATGTGAGTTTTATTTCAACCAATATTGCAACTTTTAATTAAAAAGACCTCAGTTTTAATATACAAAATATATTAATTGATAATTAAATTGACTATGTTTTCAAGTGAAATTAATCGATTGATAGAAATGATAGAACAGTAAAATTTGAGGCCTAACATATGAAAAGGTAAATAATGTAGAAAAAGATTTATGATATATGAACCTTTCCCTACAAATGTCAGTGCACCTTTTGAGGCCAAACAAGTTTTCATGAATTGGCTAAGTAGGCAGATGTTATACTCGTCAAATCTTTAACTAGCATTGAATTTTATGCACCCATACATTTTTGTTTCAACTTTCCCCAGAGAAATTTCCACTGATAAAATATATTTGGGTATTTAACAATATGATTTTTATTTAAAAAATAATTGTTATATCAAACATATAATTTCCCTAAAAACAAATAACTTCTATAACATACATGTAAATAAATTTATCAGATTGAATTACTAGCTCTTGATAATATATAAATTTAATCTCATTTACTTTTCATTTTAATTATCTACTAGATATTTTGAACTGGTGAAATTATCCTAGAGCACTTCTCATATGATGGTCCTGACTCCTAAGTCATTGTTACTGTAGAATTTTAGAAACAAGTAATGAAAACAGTCCTTCAGATAGGCACCTTTAATACAGATCTCCTACAGAACAGGGAGCTTCACCTAGGTTAATGGTTATGTTCAGAAAAACTTTTTCTTAAAAAATAGTTTATAACAAATTCTTTTTCATTTAGGGTTCTGCCACTTTTCTTATTTAATATATTTGGTAGTCTTTTTCAACATGCTAATTATTTTACATTTTCTGTAACAAGAAGGAAAGCAGGTTCAACCTGCTATGTAGTAATTGTAACACCAGGTGGTGTCAGTGCACCACAAAAATTGAAGATAGTGTCCCTTAGTAGCTGCTTAGTTGTAATAATAAGTAATATTTTCCCAGTAATACTATGCACTGCACATTTGGTGATTGAGTTATTTAATAATCACAACTGCTCTCTGAGTTAGACATTATTATCACTATTTTACAAATTATAAAATAGAACTGTCAAATTTAATTGCTCTGTTCAGTTCACCCCTTCAGAGCTTCAGCATTAACCCCTATGTAGTTTCACACTAGATATCTCACATATTCTTAATAACTAAGTAATATGGTTACAGACTTTGACTGAGATGCCTAAATGGCATTTATGTGAAGCACATAGACTCATTTTTATAATTTCCACTCAAATATTTTTTTCTAAAATTCATTTTCTAAAACTAAAAAAGTTTTCAAATTATGAAAGTACATGATTTTGCACCAAGTTTCTGAAGAAAATGCTAAGAATTAACTTTTATTAGCTAACTTTTTTGTTAGATTTTATTTCTCTTGACTGTTCAACCTTAATTTATTTCTTACATGAAACCCTTATTAGAAATGTCATTTTTTTTTCTTTTTTTAAAATTTATTTATACAAGCACTGGGTTCAGTCAGAAGCACGGGAGGGTGAGAGAATTCACCAGAGCCAGAGTGGGGAACAGAATAGTCAGACCGACGAAATACACTGCTGAGGGGAGCAGCGGGCGTGGCAGGAGAGGTCTGTCGTGCCATGTGGGACCCTCACTGGTGGGGAGGGGATCGAACCAGCGCTGCAGAAGCTGCGGGCAGCTTCGCAGCCCAGCTCTCAACCACTGCGCCACCAGGGGAGGCCCTAGAAATGTCATTTTTTAAGTGAGCTTATGGTCCACAATTGGGCATAACATTCCTCTAGAGGGAGAATGTATTCTGTTGGACACTTGGATGGCATCTGATCAAAGGGGATGGAATTCTGTCTTGTTTGTATTACTAACTTTGCATAAACCTTTTGATAGTGAACATTCAGTCAAGGCAGCTAAGATAATAAAGTAGGTGGCAGTATTCCTTCCACTTTCATGGACAAGCAGGTACTAAAGACTTACATAAACATTCAAGAACTTTCCCGCAGGGTGTAAATGCATAATAGGATATTTAAGCTTATCTGAGTGGGTCAGGGATAACTTTGCTGAGACTTAACAAATGTTAATGACATGCATCTGCCTAAGACCATTAAACTAGAACACAGGAGGGACAATGCACCAGGACTTTAATCTGATGTAATCAGATAAATAGAATTGTGGCCTATATTTAATCATGTTTCATCATTGATTTCTTACATTTGTGTCTCATAGTCTGATGATTCTAATCTCACACCTATCTTGGGGTGTTGGATGGAAGGTTTATGGTAATTTTTAGGGATATGTCATGTCCTTGATTGAAAGAATCTTCATTCTCCTGACATCTTTTGTATTTTTACTTTATTAAATAACATTCCATCTTCAGGAAGTATATAGATGTAAAACATAAATTCATGTATTTAAGTTATATATATATTTCAATGACATATAACAGTAAGCTTTTATTTTTCGCTCAGGGGATCAGATGTGAATAGCCCTGTTGACTGCAGCCAGATTTTCTTCTCACTTCTACTAGCCATCTGGAGCCAATTAGACTGGGCCTTCTTGGTGGCTGGACTTCAGGGTATAGGTCTATCCAGTACAGATTTTCAGATCTGCCACAGGTGTCTCGTTCTTGGGAGCAGGCTCAGTGGTGGGGTATGTAGCACTGAACCAAATCCCAATGCCAAGTTTAGATTACTGCATATGGATGTATAGCATCTTCTTCTTTGTATCATTAGCAGTGCCCTACACATGCCTACACCATGTCTTTTACTATATTCTGCTGAAATAGCCTGTCTATATTCAGTAACCCCTGTGAAACTGTGAGAGTCTTGAGAACTCAGTTTTATTGATCACTGCCTTCCTGGCCCCTTCTCCTATTTCAGGCACGTAAGATGTGTCAATGGTAACATTGAACACTGAAAAAAATTAAAGAGTTGTTAGAAATATGAAATAAGTATGTGTTTATGGAAATCTTTGTACCTCACAACAGACATAAATAGAACCTATCACTTTGTTTATATTCTCTCACTATTACCAGTAACTTGAAGTATCTATCAATAATTTATTAATTTAGCAAAAATCATTAAATTCAAGAAAGAAAGAAATCTATAATAAGCACTGTAGAGTTTTCTCTGATTGTTGTTAATATTTTGTCTTTAGATACAGCACTTCAGGGGGTTAGTGCTCACATCTGGGTGTCCTGCGTGACTCGATTCTCCCACTGGACTCATTGAGGATACTCTTATTTGGGAAATAAGGGCAAGAAGAAGAAAATGACTGAAAACACAGGTATCTATGTTTTCTTTATCCCACCTTACTTTTCTCAGCCAAAGGGTGTCATGAACATTCAGAGTTATTTATATAGAATTTTGCCTCTTGCAATTTTCTGGTGATTCTTCTCTGTTTAATATTAATCCTGAAGAAAAGTCATTTTTGCTCATGACACTTTTTTTTGGACTGAAGTTTGTGTTTTTGGACACATTGCATATACAATATTTCTTAAGAAAACATTGTCATTTTGATAAAAACTAATTTTCCCACTCAGTGTAGATAATATGTTAAATATTTAGAGTAAAACTGGGAACTTTGAGTAAGATGAATTAAAAAGAAAAATGCTTTTAACATTTTACCTGTGATATTTGTATTTCCTTCACCTTCTTCAGGAATAGCGTTAATAGGGGTAGAGGCACAGCTAAGGAGCAGACACACAGAAACCCAAACGATCTGTTCTTTCTTCATTGTATAAATTATCCCTGAAATACAGAACCCAGATATAGTTAATAAACAAAGTGCTAATGTGGGATTATCAATAGGCTAATAGGAATCTTATGCCTACCTCCAAATGTAAACTTTATAGACAATTTCTTTGGCAGATTTTCTATGAGACAGCACAAAGGACTGCAAAAAGAAAAAAAGAAAAAAAGAAAGAAAGAAATAACTAGCACTCCAGCCAGTGCTTTACTCTAGTTCTTCTATCCTGAACTTAGGAAATTATCAGATTCAAAAAATTAAGAATGATGTGGGAAAAGAAGTATCTGTTCTAAAAATAAACCCCCCAAAACCCAAAAGAATGTCACAAATATGACTTAAAATGATAAGTCAACACAGTTAAACTTTAAAGGAAACGGATTTCAGCAGGAGAGTGAGATTTCCTGTTTCAAAATGATACACTGAAAAAATAATGGAAAAAAACATCTAATTTTTTTTTTTCTCCTTTGGATTCAAAGGTGAAAGGACATGTGTTATGTTCACACAGCAGGGGGAAAGAAAAAGAAGGGAATGTAGGCACATGTTCATCCACTAACGCTACCAGAGTCAGGAAGGAAAAGAAATCTCAATAAACATTCACAAATGCAAGGTCAGTCCATCAAGACAATTCAGAGAATTTTCTGCATATGTCCATAGTGAATCACAGCTGCAATATGCACCATTAAGTGTGGGAAATCTTACAATAAATAATAAAGTAATAAATGCCATTTTGCTTTAAGCTTCATTAAAATCACTAATGAAACATGAAACCAATTTTCTCACACCACTTTAGAAATGTTAACACATGTTTAATTTTTAGTCAGGAGCATTTATGTATCTTCTAAATTATATCATGAACTATTTGAATTCATGCATATATATGCATGTGTATATGCATATGTACATATCTTATAATTAAATTGTATATATATGGGCATATAAATACTTTACAAGTAACCTGACCTAATTATATATTATTGTAATAATGTGTTATTGTAACATCTTCTTTTAAGTTTTAAAATGCATCATTAGGGCCTCCCTGGTGGCGCAAGGGGTTAAGCACTGCACTATGAAGCAACCCGCAGCCTCTGCAGCACAAGCTTGATCCCTGGCCAGGCAGAGAGCAGTCCACATGCACAGCAGACCTCTCCTGTCTCTCCTGTTGCTCCCCTCAGCAGTGTATTTCAGTCAGTCTGCCTGTTCTGTTCCCCACTCTGTCTCTGGTGAATCCTCTCACCCCCTCATCTCTGGCCTGTACCCGGCTCTTGTATGCATAAATAAATAAATCTTAAAAAAAAAAATAAAATGCATCATTAAGTTACATTACAAAATGGAGTACTGAAACTCGAACTGAAGCTGCACATTGGTTAATTAATTCACTTCCCCCAACCCATGTGCCTTGCTGCACTGTACTTTCTTAAATAACTGGCTGTAATAAACACATGTGTTATCCTACCTGGCAATAAATGATTCAAGGGCATTCAGATATCTAAATATGAAGGGTAGAATATTAAATCTTATAGAAGAATCATAAGAGAATATGTTTATGATAAGGTTGCCAAAGATTTATTAACCAGAATACAAAAATAACATGTATGAAATAATAATCATTGGATTTCATTAAAATCAAGAACTATTGTTCATCAATGTAAACACTGGTCAGATACTAAAAAACAAGGTGTGAGAAAGTATTTAAATTCATATAGCTGAAGGCTATTTATTGAAAATGTATGAAGAGCTACAACTAAATATCCAATTAAAATGGGTTAAAAACAAAACAGCGGTTCCAAAAAGATTATATACATATGACCAATAACATTAAAATATGCTCAAAATCATTAGTTATCAGGAATATGCAAATGAGCATATTTTGAGATACCACAACTAAAATTAATAAAAACTGACAGTACTTAGTGCTGGTGGGGATGCGAACTGCCCCCTCTTATTGGTGGGGTTATACTATGGTCTTAATGTTTATGTCCCCCCAAATTTATATGTTGCATTCTAACCCCCAAACATGACAGCTCTAGGAGGTAGGGTTTACAGAGAGATTCATGAGGACAGAGCTCTCATAGATGGGATTTTTTTTTATTAAAGGGACCCCATAGTTATCGCTCACCCCTTCTACCACACAAGGGCACAGTGAGAAGGTGCTAGCTACAAACCTGAAAGTGGACCTTGAAGGTATACACACAGTTTATAAATAAGACGATCTTCATGAAATAAAGAAAATAAAATCATATTCATATCATTGTTATATTTCAAAAAGAAAAAAAGGAAAATCTATTAAAATAAAATTTTCAGGCGTTAAAGAAGTACTTTTGTATGTGAGCCAAAAGGGATACTGAGTTCCTCAGAAATTTATGTCTTTATTAGTGTGAAAGTCAGATAATTATTTTGCATGCAAATCTTCCTTCAATACTAAAATATAATGAGTAGCATTTAAAAAGGAGGTTGAACAAAATACTTCACAGTAACATTCAGGGATAATAGAAAGCCCACAATGGGCTAATATCTTCAAAGCTGTCAGAAAAAAATATCTGACCCATTAGTTTTTAATGAAGTTAAGTTTTTTTTTTTTAAAGATTTATTTATTTATGCATACAAGAGCTGGGGCACAGGCCAGAGATCAGGGGGGTGAGAGGATTCACCAGAGACAGAGTGGGGAACAGAACAGGGAGATTGGCGAAATACACAGCTGAGGGAAGCAGTGGGCAAGATAGGAGAGATCTGCGGCACCCTGTGGGTTGCTCCCTGGCTGGGCAGGGATCGAACTCGTGCTGCAAAGGCTGCAGATTGTTTCATAGTGTGGTGCTTAACCCCTTGCACCACCAGGGAGGCCCAAAGCTAAGTTATTTTTAAATAAAATGATATTAGAGTGGCTGTAGAATTCAGAGAATACAATTTCTCCCTCTTTTCTTGAAAAGTAGACACAATGGGGCCTCCCCTGGTGGCGCAGTGGTTAAGAGCTGGGCTGCGAAGCTGCCCGCAGCCTGTGTAGCGCCAGTTCGATCACAGGCCGTCGGCGAGGGTCCCACATGGCGCGACAGACCTCTCTTGCCATGCCCGCTGCTCCCCTCAGCAGTGTATTTCGTCAGTCTGCCTGTTCTGTTCCCTGCTCTGGCTCAGGTGAATTCTCTCAACCTCCTACGCTTCTGACTATAACCCGTGCTTGTATAAATAAATAAATAAATCTTAAAAAAAAAAAAAAAAGTAGACACAATGAAGTAAAATACTGAAAACAAAAGTCATGTTAAAAATGATTTTTGCTGAACAGAACATTAACTGACATATAGGAATATGAAAAAAAAAATGAGTATTTAGGAAATTATGGTTGCACAGAGTAAATGTTTAAAGAAATCTTTCGAAGGAAAATCATCTTTCAGGACAGGAACTTTACTAGAGCTTAATTAAGTTTTAATAGTGCACCCCCCTTTTAATAGGCATTTTTAGAATTACAGGAAAATTAAGAAGAGTTGGATAGGCGCTGGCAGACAGTCACTTTACTTAACCTCTGTTCCAGGATTCCTGGTCCCAACTTTTGATTCATGCCTGAGAATAGCATGAAATAGTTTTAATAAACAGCAAAACAGTTTGGTAGGCCATGGATTCTTAGTACTTGACTCAATGCCTCAAAGTACTAGTTTGTTTTCATTTATTCACTTTTAATGAATCCTTTCCAAATAGACTTCTGGTGGGAAACAACTGTGCTAAACAAATCTAAGATATTTTAACACAAGATTCCTCTGAAAATTTTCATAACTTCATACATTGCTACCTGGTGATATGTTGAAGATGTGACAACTTCTTCCAAAATCAATTTTTGTGCTTCTATTATTCTTTTATACTCCCCAGCAATTAGTGATCATTAATGCCATTTCTTGCACAGCACACTCATGCTAACAGCAAATTCTTCATATTTTTCCTTCAACAGTGACCCAGTTTCACTGTTTCCACTGTATGCTGGCACAGCGCCTTTTCTTTCACCACTGACTACATCTCCACATTTTCCCATTAAGCTCTAGGCCAATATTCCACTGACATCTGGTTTCAGATCCAAAATACTATCCATCTTAGCAGCATTTTTCTATTTATTCAACCTTTATTTTCTTATTTTTTTCCAAATTAATTGATTTGAACAAAGTAGGATTTTTTAGAGGATGCTGAAAATTCTGGAGAAAGCTGAAACTTCTGGTGAAAGCTATATACTTAAGTAAAAACTGGCTTCACATGATTTCTCCCAGAACTTTTGCATCCTTGTCTTACTCTTCTACTTTTCTATTGTTTTACTTTAATATATAATAAATTGTAGATGTCTTGGGAAACTGGAAGTCTTTACCCAGTATGCAGAAGAATTTACTTTAGCTAATGTTTAAACTTGATCAAAGGCTTTCTCAAAAGCAAAAGCCAGGCAAACTCAATAGTTCATTTCTTCTCATGGATTAGCTCATGGATTAACTCATGGATTTACCCAGGTAGGTGAGATAATCCCCTTACACCCCAGTAACCTCTTTTATCCTTCCTAGCATGTTCAACACCCTACTATCAAGGTATGTTCAACAACCTACTATATATATCCCATGGAACATTTTATTTTTATTTTTTTATTATTTTTAAATGTTCTTTTTTTTAAAAAAAAAAAGATTAATTTATTTATACATACAAGAACCAGGGTGCAGGCCAGAGTTTTGGGGGGGTGGTAAGAGGATTCATCAGAGACAGAGTGGGGAACAGAACAGGTACATCGACTCAAATACACTGCAGAGGGGAGCAGCAGGCAAGTCAGGAGAGGTCTGCTGCGCCATGTGGGTCACCTGCCTGGCCGGGAATCGGACTTGTGCTATAGTGGCTGTGGTGAGCTTCATAGGTTGCATCTTAACCCCTTGCACCACCAGGGTGGCCCCAGAATATTTTATTTTTAAATACCGGTATTATCTTGCACAGTTTGCCTTGCTTTGACTAAGGGTATCACTCAAAAATCCTGCTGTTGGTGACAATCGTTCTA